GTTCATCATCTTCCCAGCACATGACCCATCCATCTCTCTTTACCACTTCACTTCTACAATTAGATCAGTGGCATATCCAAGCCTTATAGATCTTGAATTTCATTCTCATTGTGAACCATCTACCTGCTAGGATCGAAATCAGCTCATTAAACTTCATCCACCCCAATATGCATCTTATTACCACTGCAATCTCACATCCACCACCACAGTTGATTGTGTCCCCAAGATAACAAAACCTATCAACCTTCTGATCGTCTCCATGTACATCCCAACCTGCTTCTCCGCCAATCCATTACTAGTCTCTCTGCATTTCTTAGTCAAAACTCTGGGCCATGCTGCTGGTAATATTCTTCACTCCAGTACATCTCGCATGAACCCACTTTTGACATGTGCATCTGATAGAGTTCAGTATTTAAATAAAAGAACAATCGCATTAACATTTGTCTCTATGCGCTTTCCACTACAACAGAAAAAGGAAAAAAAAACAGTATAAATGTTTAAAACGGAAAAGAAAGTGCTAGAAAATAAAAACATAACACACGCACTGAAACCTTCAAAATGTTATAAGCTCAGCGGCGCTTATTTGAGCATTTACGGTAAATCCACTACGAGGTTCAATGTTCCAATAGTACAGTATATACAGTACTTTACTGTTAAAACTTAATACAATGTTAATTATGAAAGCAATAGCCATTCTTGTATAACCACCAAATAAGAGAAAATAAAATAATATTACAAGAGTACTATCATTCTGGCTACATACTGTTACAAGTTATTTTAATACAAAAGACATCAGGGGGAAAGGCACACTTTTTCTGGACCTTTTTAAAGAAGTGAATCTATCATGGGAATAAGAAATTCTTCAGTCTTTTGAAAACCGGGAACCCACACTAAACATACCATGTATATATAATGTTGTATTACAACCACACACAACATACCATGTATATATAATGTTGCATTAATCAGATACCATAAAGCAAAATCTGGCTGAACATAGTGATTGGGACAATGGCAGGATGTTGCCTGATTCCAAAACAAACATATTATTTAAATTTAGTGAAGGACACCGTTAACACAGATAATTGAGATCAACAAACTACTGACAGTAGAAGATGCACTGATTTAATGAGCACTCATATTCTAAACACTTGTCTCCAATCCGACTGTTGCTTAAATCACTGAAACAGCCACATGGGCCACAACCTACTGAAACATTACTCTATGTACTTCACAATTCTAAGCATTCTAAGCAAGTGGTAATGTAAGTGCTTCTTGCGCTGAGGATGTTAAAGCCCAGTCAGGTTTAAATTGATCGCTTAAATTAGTTGTTCCAGGAGGAAAACCGTATGCCCTGACACAGACCCTATATAGGAACTGTGGTCCTGATATAATTTAACTGGTCCAATGTAGGCACTGGCCAATTAGAGACCCTGATTAACTGTTTCAGTAAGGCCCAGATTATTTGCTTTGTGTATGCACTGGCCTATTGTATGTCCATTCTTCCTGTATAGGCATTGGCCTACTGTAGGCACTGATAAATTGTCCCTGTGTAGACACTGGTTAATGCACTGATCAGTTGCAACAGTACTATTGTTATCGTCCAAGTACAGGAAATCCTTATTGCTTCAAATTCAACCACTTGAAGTATTCTCATATCTTTGGTTTTCCAGGTTTTGTTTCCTTGAAAATAAAAATCAAACATTACAAGGAAGTCCAAAATCAATCATTATTACTAAGTCTAAAATCAATCATTACTACTATGTCCAAAATCAGAACATTACAATAATGCAATCAGTATCATCATAATGCAATTGTACAATTGTAGACTACAAAAACTAGTACAAAAATATACAAACATTTAAATTCTGCTGTCCATTTTTGTATTCAATTGTTCACACTTTTTTCCACACAGAATCTCGATTGTTCTCAATGACACCAAGTCCAGCTTGTTCTAGTGTAACAACATTTGCTGATCTATCAAGCTACTTAAAGGTCATAACAATAATCATTTGAATCTTTCCCTTAACATTGTACCTTTCTCATGTTTTAACGATGATGATGACAATAGGTTAAAAAAGGGGTAAAGATTGTGTCGCCCATGTATGATGACAACTGGAAATCAGATTAAGCAATTTATGAAACCATGACAAATAAATTACTGTGACAGCACAGTGGCATATTGTCACTTTCTTGGCAATGACATGGTACTGCAGGCATATTGTCACTTTCTTGGCAATGACATGGTACTGCATTTGTGTCAGTGTTCTTGGGTTTCGTCTTTCAAATGAACTTGTAAATGCAACTTCTTTCTATTGTTGAAAGGATACGTAGCTGCCTGTCCAGGTGTGACAGCAGGTGTGTGTGTATTGATATCTGCTATTATTCCCTTAATACTGATATGTTGCATTGGTGCTACCTGCTTTGTGATCAATTGCCTCTCTCTTCCACAACTGCTTGTTTCTGACCTATTAAAACATTTCAAAATCAATTGACTTTTTTTATAGTACAAATACTTCTTACTGGCTTATTTAAAGATAAATTCACTCCTTGCTATAGTACTACGTCCTTCAAGAAAAAAGATAAATTCACTCTTCGCTATTAAATCCTTTAAGGAAAAGATAAATTCACTCCTTGTTTCAGTGCAACCTTTTTGCTATTGACATATTAAAAGAAATGAATTTTAAAAATGATCAAATTAACTTCTTTCTACATTGCAAATGCTAGCTTCCATGGATACCATTTCCCCGAAAACTAGACTAGAAAATACTGGAATGGTGTTTGGTAGGGAATATTTTTACCCCTTTATGACTACATGCTAAAAGCTTTGCTTCTTTAGAATGTATTTTCTATCCCATCATTTTCATTACATTTAAACTAAGGAACTGGAATAAATTTGTACTTGAGCATGAACTGACAAAGTGATTTCTTATTCTGTTGACAATAAAACCAATCCCAGCATCACTTGTCCTGTTGGCATGGCCACTAGACTGTGAAAGTGGTTTTGTGTCCTGTTGCCATGAATACCATACCTAGCAAGTGGTTTCTTGTCCTGTTGCCATAGACACTCGCCAAGGCAAATGGTTTAAGTAATGAACATAGTTACATCCAGTTTAAGAGTTTGTTTATCAAACACTTAGTTACCTTGATTTGTCACTTTGCATAAACTTCTTGATAACATTTGTAAGTTCTTCCACTTTGACAGCTGCAATCTTAGCACAATGCAGAAGCTAATAATAATAATTGTCATCATTATAATACATGTTTCTCAATGAGCAATATTTACAATGGATTCTGTACATCTAAGCTCAGATGATTTTTGATCTCTTTTTAGTGGCCTTAACTTTTGGGAATATTTAAAAATAATTTGTCTTTATAAGATAATAATACATCTCAGCTACCCATGATTACTAAGTGTGCAAACATTTTATAATTTTGTTTTATATATTTCTGTTATTCTTCAGAAATGTTTGATATTACTAACAGTAGGTTTGACAATCAATAATGCAGAAAAGCTGAAGCTAAAGGCTATGGTATTATTATGCACAGGCAGATTAGGGCACAAGCCTACCAGCTTGGTTTGTAAGTGTATCAATGCATGCAAAATATATCATATGCAAGAACAAAATACATGACTATATGACTATGTACACTTACTTGTTGTTTAACCAACAGCATATTGCCACTCATATGCACAGTACAGACTTCATTATTGGAGTTCATTGCCACCACCATCACACCTTCCATCACATTCTCCTCCTCAGTACTTGGGTCAACAACTATATAATTTCTTTTGGAATGGAAACAATATAAAATACATTATTAACATTAAGATTAACTATATAGTACTAAATTGTATTAATAATAATAACCAGAACCGTGCGTGTGCGTACGTTCCTTTGTACGTAAAAAATCAATGTACATTTGGCAATTGGAATAACTTATTGTATCTTTTTGAATAATGATTGTGTAAGGTAATACAGTATTTTCATTTTCAGTCAAAAAAATCAGAGGCGGATCCAGAAATTTATGAAAGGGGGGGTGTAAGGGGTTCTGAGAAGTGCAGGGATGTCGTTATGCAGGGCGGAGGTGGGCGGCGCCGCCCACTCTTGACGTCTTGCGCCCATCCTAAAGCTATTATTAAGGCCTTCCACCCAGCCTCATACAAATTCTCCCGTCCCCCTTAAAATTATGAAGAAACACAAGTTTTTGCTCCATAAACCGTATTTTCCGGTTAATAAGCCGCAAATTTTATACGCGATTTTCCCCTCGAAGTTTGGGGTGCGGCCTATACACCGGTCGCTAACCTACTCCCAAAAAGTTCAGATCGCGAACCGCAGCGAAAATCAGGCGCCGTCTGTCTAGCTTGGGCCCATGCTCCTACTAACTAGCCCAATTAATTAGCCTAGGCTTTGAAGGGCTAGTATTTGTAATTATACTCACTATACAGTGCTGTACTGTCCTACTACATTTTCTATGACAATCAAGCAATTGTTTGGATTGTTTAAATAATTATTTTCATAGTTACGTTCAATCAAACAATTTTGAAACAAGTTTAATTCGAAACCGCTTTGCTCAAAACAATAAATAAACTTCTTTTCGGGAGTGTGGTCCTAGAGGTCACGTGAGCAGCTTCATTTATGATGTCGCAACAAAACACACGTGGGCTGTTGAAACTTTCTGTTCGACGTCTGTTTCCCGGTGGCTTGTACCGTTATAGAAAGAATATTGATAGCGCTATATTTCAGAATAAATGCTTGTGAAATTAATTTATACAATAAAAACACGAGTTTTCTTGAAGTTGTAATAATTATTTTATTGGAAATTAATTGAAGAAAGGCATACGTTCGTCCGTCTATCACATACCTCCATCACATGCTGTATATGTGTATAGATGGTCAGTCCATCACATGCTGTAAATTTATGTGTCCATAATTTTAAGGTTCTCCCCCACCGATACATGCCTCCATCACACGTTGTATATGTGTATAGACGGTCAGTCCATCGGTACTAGGATAATTACCCCCGGAAAATTAATTGTAATTGTCCTTGGTGGGTATGGTGATTCCTGGGGCTTTGGGGTGATTTTCCAGGGGGTATTTGTCCGGACACGCAGTCCCATGCTGTAAATTTATGTGTCCATAATTTTAAGGTTCTCCCCCACCCGGGACTGTCCATCAGATGCTGTATTTTCTAATCATTATTTTCCCAAACATCATTTGATGAAGCTATGCTGTACATTTATGTGTCCATAATTTTAAGGTTCTCCCCTACCCGGGACTGTCCATCAGATGCTGTTTCTGACCATTATTTTCCCAAACATCATTTGATGAACTCCCGTCCCCCCGCCAACCCTTAGGTTCGTCCGTCCATCACATGCTGCCCCTGCCAACCCTTAAGTTCGTCCGTCCATCACATGCTGCATATTTATGTGTCCAGAATTTTTAACCATCATTTCTTGGAAAATAATTCCACAAATGTTGATTTTTATTGCTTGACGGCAGGCTGGTGGTAGGCCAAGAAACCTACTTTAATACGTAATGGTATAGTACAATGTATCAGATGTGTCTAGGCCTAAACCAGGTCCGACAGTGTCGCCCAAAGAGAAGCCTACATTACGTATGTGTCTAGGCTAGGCCTAAGTGCACCAGGTCCGTCAATCTTAGCCGTTAAAGTATACTAAAACACTAATAGAACACACAGAACACCTTCAAATAAAAGCACAAGTAAGTGGCTGATATGCCACAACTATCTCAGTTTGCTCGATGTTTACTGACAGTCGCGAAAACAACATAAAGAACTTTTCTAGGCAGCTCGCGACAGAAACAAAATGTCGGGAAAGTTTGACCCGACGCATCGCAAATCAAATTTTCGACTAAAAAACGACTCAAAACTGGTGGTAGGGGGTATATGTTTTATCGCCTACAGCCTACATTTTTCATCTAACCAAAAAAACAAACATTTCTTGCACAATTGCATGTCCACCAGCAACTATCGAGCACAATGTATACCTGCCACTATGCACCGTTTCGGAGCCTATTTGTTTACAAATATGCTGACCTTTTTTGGTGTCACATCTCATACACACATTTTACATGTGAACCATTACATTAGTTCCATGTGACCTAAGGTCACAAAGGAACTAATAATAATAATAATAATAATAATAATAACAATGATAACAAAATAATAATAATAATAATAATAATACTAATAATAATAATAACAACACTATGACAATATGACATTACTTTGTTTCTCTATATTCAAGTCAGATGTTCGATCACTAAATACTGAAATGTTTATATTTTTTACAAGATTAAAGCTGCAGAAAATATAATACTTACTAGAAAAAGTCAATGACAACAGTTTGGTGAAGCATTCATACAAACATAAAGAGTATATATTTGGTATTATTTATGTAGTATACACTGCTGACTCTATATATAAAAATACTCACCCATGATCAAAGATTGCAAAGGTTACACAGAGAGGCATGTGGTGAACACTCAATGGCACAGGGTCTTTGTCGTCATAATGCTATGCAAATAAATACAAAAGTTAAAGATCAAATTAGCTTCAATTTCAAACAAGAGACTGTCAAATGTTATTGCAGTTTCTGGCTGTATATGCTTAATTTAAATACAAAATGTAAATAAAGATGATGAAAGCATGGAGATGTTGTGAGAACCAAGCAGAACAGGAAGCTGAAGATATATAACAGATGACGAACACAAAACTGTTGACAGATTATAAACAGAGAAGATGAGATATAGTCACGTACGTAGTAAATTATATAGTTATAATGCTGTCTCTTATACACATCTAAATGTGTATAAGAGACAGCCCTTAAGTTCGTCCGTCCATCACATGCTGCATATTTATGTGTCCAGAATTTTTAACCATCATTTCTCGGAAAATAATTCCACAAATGTTGATTTTTATTGCTTGACGGCAGGCTGGTGGTAGGCCAAGAAACCTACTTTACGTAATGGTGTAGTACAGTATATCAGATGTCTCTAGGCCTACACCAGCTAGTCCGACGGTGTCGCCCAAAGAGAAGCCTACATTACGTATGTGTCTAGGCTAGGCCTAGGTACACCAGGTCCGTCAATTTTAGCCGTTAAAGTATACTAAAACACTAATAGAACCCACAGAACACCTTCAAATAAT